TGCCTCGCTGGACTCTTAGAGCATCATCAAGTTTAGAAGTCACAGTGGCTATCACAAAAGAAAAGAACCATGACCCACAAGTTAAAAACACAAACATTTCTTACAAATAGAAAGGTAAACAAAAGGGAAAAAAATCAATGTAGGAAATATGGCTGGATGATGACACCATTGTTACTCAAGGTGCTCAAAGAAATTAGTCAGAAAACAAAATGAAACAAGACAAAGAAAACCCAACAAACCCCACTGAATCCTAAAGGTGCGTGGGTGAAGGACAAAGACACGTAACGAAGAGGAAGCTAATTTGGCTAACATGTGTGCAGGGAAATGTTCACCTTAGTAATTAAATGAATGCAAATCAAAGCAAAGAGACCTCAATTGTCTCTCACCGGTTAGCAAAGTCCGAAGGAATGCTCTTAGGCAAGGCTGCAGGGAAGTGGGTGAGATGGTGAGTGTGTTACTGGCCTTGGGGAATTGTTTTTTATCTTGAGAAAGGCTCATGTAGTCCATAGCCCTGAACTCACTATGTAGCCCAGCCTGTGAAAAAAACATTTTGACTAAAGGTGTTACATTTGCACAACTAAACTTGCCTGTAACTCTATAATTCTAGCAGTTGAGAGGCTGGGGCAGAGTAATAAAAAACAAAACAAACAAGAAAACCAAACAAGGTTAGCCTGGGCTACATAGTGAGATCTTGCCTATCTGAAACAAAACATTTGTTTGTTTGTTTGTTTGTTTGTTTGTTTTAATTTGTTGAGGCAGAGGGATCCCCGTGAGTTCAAGGCCAGCCTGGTCTACTTAGTCAGTTTCAGGACAGCCAGGGTTACATAGAGAGATAAGAGAGATCCTGTCTCAAAAAGCCAAAAAGTTAAAGGGAGAAAAAGAAAGGAAGGAAGGAAGGAAGGAGGGAGGGAGGGAGGGAGGGAGGGAGGGAGGGAGGGAGGGAAAAAAACAAAGGTTTACAGAAAGTACAACTATAAAAAGATTAGATTTATTTTATATTTTATTTTTATTGTATGTGTGTGAAGTGAGTGTGTGTGTGTCTGCTACATGTGTGCTCAGGCCAGAAGAGGGAGTTGGGTTCCCTGAAGCAAGAGTTAGAGGCAATTACACCAGGTATGGGTCCTGGGTCCTGAGAAGATGACATAAACTCCATTTTAGGACTAGGCCTGACTTCAAAAGAGAAGTCATCTGTTTCAGGGACTGATCATAACCCCCCCCCCCCCAAGTCATCAGTCCCAGGAGCTAGGCCATAGGTCACCATCTCCAGGCACAGACCATAAAACTCCAGGAACAAGGCCACAGAATTCCCTGTCCAAAGAACAGCCTGGAGATACCCACAAGGATGGGGAAAAGTATCTTATCTCAGGATGGGACATCTGTGCGAGGGCAGCCTTGTATGGTCTGAGTCAGGGATGGGACACTGATTTAGGAGTTCCCCCCTGCAAGGACTGGCATCGTTGCGCCTCTGCCACTGCACTGAACCTTTAATCTGACGAGAGTCCTAAAGGATGCGCCCCAGCACAAGACTTTTGTTGAGGAAGACTTGAGATGCAGGGAAAGGAACCCAAACCAGGGGGAGGGGGATGGGATCTCAGCTGGGACAGAGGGGACAGCAGCAACCAGAGAGCCATGGGAGGGCTGGAAGTGGAATTCCGTGAGAGACAGTGGGGTTCTTTGAGCTGCAGTAAGTGCTGTTAGGAGAAGCTTGCTGCAGATGAGTACCTAGAAAATGCTTTTTCCTTCTCTTTGCTTCCATTCTTTCTTCTATTAAAAAAAAAGTATGTGAATGTGTGTGTGTGTGAGTACGTGTGTGTGTGAGTACGTGTGTGTGAATACTTGTGTGTGTACATGTGTGTGTATGTGTGTGTGTACATGTGTGTGTATGTGAGTACGTGTGTGTATGCATGTGTATGTGTGTGTATGTGTGTGTGTGAGTACGTGTGTGTGTGTGTACGTGTGTGTATGTGTGTGTGTATGTGTGTGTGTGTACGTGTGTGTATGTGTGTGTGTATGTGTGTGTGTGTATGTGTGTGTGTATGTGTGTGTGTGTACGTGTGTGTGTGTGTACGTGTGTGTGTGTGTGTGTGTTCAGGTGCATATGTGCCTGTGGAGCCCAGGGGGTTGATGCTGGTTTTCTTCCTTGCTCTCTCTCAGAAAACAAGTTCTCACTATTTGATGAGCCTTGCCTCGCCCCCTGCCCCTAGCATCACTACAGCCATTTTGTTCCATGCCTGCCAGCTATTTCATGTTGCTGCTGTAATCTGCCTGCCAGTCATTGATGCAAAAGAATAACCTGACCCAGAGCAGGGTCATGCTAACCACCTACCCTGTTATGTTCTGAGGTTTGTTAATCTGAAGAAATTCGACAACTGTAAGCTCCACTTAGGACCAATCAGAATAAAGGTCAGTTAGAACCGTTCTGTCTAACTGGTCAAAATAGCTTGAGTCAGAGCTGACCATGGGGAATCACTTCCTGCACCTGCACGTGAGCTCACTGTGTAATGTTGGTGGTCGTAGCCTCAGCACTGAATCCTGAGATACAACCCTGATCGATCAGTGCTAGGGTATGCGCTCAATAAACCATCCCTTTCTGATTGAGATCTATGTGTCATTTGTGGGGCCACTCCTGGACTCCAACACTATGTGGCTCTGGCTGGCCTGGAATTCTCTGAGTAGACCAAGCTGGCCTAGAACTCACAGAGATCCACCTGCCTCTGCCTCCTGAGTGCTGGGATTAAATGTGTGTGTCACCACCCTCAGCTCTCTACCTTATCTTTTGAGACAGCCTCTCACTGGACTTGCAGCTCATGGATTGGGCTGGGCTGGCTGGCCAGTGATTTTTCAGGGGTCCCTGCATCTGCCCCAATCCCAGCACTAAAATTATACATGTAGCTTTTACATGAGACCTAGGTGCTAGGGATTTAAATTCATACCCTCACATCCTGTCTGTAAAACAGGCACTTCACTGACTTAGCCCAATTAAAGTGTTCACTGTTCCTTACATGTTGTCTCATCCTCAGGAACTCCTCAGAGTCCGGGCCTAGCATGGCTGCAGTCTGGAGGTGAGGGTGGGCAGCTCTGCCTGCCAGTCACCCATGACATCATGTCATGTCTGAAGGCGGAGATCAGATGTGGTTACAGTTCCCTTGCTGGCTGTAGCATATGGTAGTGTGTGTCGCGCCTCGCTCGGCTGGGTGGGTTGCAAGGGCAGATAGCAGATATGAAGGTATAGGGAGGTGGGTGGGACTGGGGTGTGTAAGGCGAGACTCACAATGAAACAATAAAAAGTTGAAAAAGGAGGAGGAGGAGGAGGGGGAGGAGGAGGAAGAGGAGGAGGAAGAGGAGGAGGAAGAGGAGGAGGAAGAAGAAGAAGCAGCATCCTTGAGGTGAAATTTTCTGGGAATTCTTTCCTCAGGGTCAACACATACAGGATTGAAGCTGTGGCCTAAAGGCACCCAAGGCTGCATCTCATGCTGGCAGCCAAAACTTGGTGATGTGTGAGAATATCCCATGTGGTACTGGTTTTGAAGGGAGGGACTCCAGGGGTCCTGGAGAGCAGCCAAAGCTTGGCACTGTGTGGCAAAGCTGGAGTCCTTCAACAGAGGCCAGAGGGAGCCATTGTGAAGGTGCAGCATCTGTTTGGGGGTATATACCAGAGAGATGGATTTAAGCCAATAGAAGGTCTTTATTAGCTGGCTAGCAATTACACTGGGGATTAAGGATTCCAGTGTACCACCGAGTCTTTCTCTGGGTGGGGGAGCTTTTAAGCACAAGAAACATGTTCTGGGTTGGCATACTTCAGTTACTAAGAACAGTTAGCCAGAAGCAGAACTGCAGAAGCCAAAAAACAAAGTTAGTTCATTTAGAAACTTTCCCAGAACTGTGGACAGTGACAGATCAGGCCTTTGCTTTACTTTTGGCAGGTGGTGCTGTCTATGTGCTGAGTTTTATGGCCTGAATGGTACTTCCATTATGGAGTTAGTTGTGCTAAGGTCTGGAAGCCTACAGAGGTCTGGGGTCGTGTCACATCTCAGTTGGAGCAGATCCCAGCATTTTGGAGAAGCCAGTGCCATGGGATGATCACCAAGGACATGAGCAGCCGTGGAGCTGAGTTATTCTGAGCCTAGAAGACAAGCTGTGTGTGCTGCACAGGGTGGAGCTGGACACATGACCACGCCATTGGGCACTGAGTTATTTACACTGTTGGTGTTTGGATCCGCCTTGTTCAGATTGTATCGATGGCTAGTTCTTCCCTTTCAAAGTAAGAAACTATTTAACTGACTTTTAAAAAATTATTTTACAGAGGCTGGGCAGTGGTGGCACATGCCTTTAATCCCAGCACTTAGGAGGCAGAGGCAGGCGGATTTCTGAGTTCGAGGCCAGCCTGGTCTACAGAGTGAGTTCCAGGACAGCCTGGGCTATAAAGAGAAACCCTGTCTCAAAAAACAAAAAAATTATTTTACAGGAGCCCACAGTTGAGGAACTGTGACCTTTTAAAGAGATTTTGGGTTTAGTGTTTAGTTTAGTTTAGTTTAGTTTAGTTTAGTTTAGTTTAGTTTAGTTTAGTTTTTCAAGACACAGGGACTCACTATGTAACTCTAGCTGTTCTGAAATTCTATGTAGACCAGGTTAGCCTCAAACACAGAGATCTGCCTGCTTCTACCTTCTGGGTGCTGGGATTAAAAGTGTGTGCCACCATGCCCCTCACGACTTTGGATTTTAAGGGAAACAATGGATATTTTAAAAAGACAGTTTTTGAAGTATTGAAAATGTAAAGACTGTGGAACTTTAAAAGTTTATATGTACTATGTCTATATTGTGATATTAATCTGAGATCTTAGAGAAGGAAAGGCTATTGTTAAATAATGTTGTATTTGTGTATCAAGTTGTCAAGGGGTCAGTGTACTCGCTGGTTCTATGTCAACCTGACACAAGCTAGAGTCATTTGAGAAGAGGGACTCTCAATTGAAAAAATGCCTCCATAAGATTTATCCGTAGGCTCTGTCCCTAGAGGCATTGCAAGTGTTGCTGTTGTGTCACATGTGCGTCAGTAGGTGACAGAGGAGACAGGCTGTGTCTATGCTCAGTGTTCTGACTTGTGAACGTCTGAATGATTAGTACCCTAACATGCCTGGGCATTGTCAGGGAACTGGCCCCAAGGGCATGAGAAGAGCAGGAGAGCTGACCCTGCCCCTAGCCAGATGCAGTACTTTGGAGAGTGGGCCCCCAAAGCACAGTAGAGCTGGCCCTAAGGGTCTAAGTGTGGGAGACCCAGTCCTACAGCTGGTCTCCCATGCAGTAGCACGAATCAGGGAGAGATACCCTGCTCCCTTCCCACCCTCCGTCCACCTGTGGCAATTGGGAACGCTGCCCTAGGATCATGACAGCAGGTGAGCTGCCCCTGTTCCTCACCTGTGCAGCACAGTAGAGCTGACCCTGGCAGTGGCAAGCTGGCTTACAGGTTGCAAATATGGGAGAGCTGGCCCTACCTCTTATCAGCTGTGCAGTGGGATGGACAAGGGGGAGATCCCCTCCCCTCCATTGGCCATCTGTGGTGGGTGGGAGAGCTGGCCCTGCCAGGGTCTGTCACCAGCCTGCAGCACTCAGGAGAGCAGCCCCTGCACCTTCCCTGGGCAGCATAGTAGAGTCAGACCGAGGGCGTGAGAGCAGAGGAGCTTGCTCTGCCCCTTGCTGGCGGCAGCATTTGAGTGGGGCAGCAGGAGCCAGGCAGGAGAGCTCACTCTTGTCGTGTGGGTGTGGGAGAGCTAGCAGGCTGACCAGCTCAGATATCTCCCAGGCCCAGATCCAGGGCTTTGAATTGGTTCACCCCAACATCTACCCATTGATGAACTGCTGGAGTTCATGAAGGGGTCAGTCCAACAGATCCAAAACTATAGGATTTGCATGGCACAGGGCAACACAGGATGTCTGAGAGGGGTCCCAGTGAGGTGCCAGAATTGATGGTGTAGCAGAAGCCAGAGGCTTCGAGCCAGACCAATGACTCACTGCAACGAACACTTGCTAGCAAAGTGGTGTGGACAAAAGGGCATACTGTGGACACACTGTGACACACTGTATTGGTCCCTGCCTCCAGGTTCCTGCCCTGTTTGAGTCTCTGCCCTGGCTTTCCTTGATGATACACTGTGATGTAGAACTCTAAGCAGAAATAAACCCTTTTCCCCAAGCTGCTTTGGTCATGGTGATCTATTGCAGCAATAGTAACACTAATTCAGATCTCCTTCTTTTCAGGGTTAACTCACACTTGTCTTTTAGACTTAGCTGGGTATGTCCCTGTCCAGAAAGCCTCTGTGGTTTGCAGGATGATGCAGTGTCTTCCCATGGGGTCCCCGGGAGCTCACTCACCTGCCTGTCTCCCTGTAGCTTACGGGCCAGATGCTTTGTGCAGCCGTTGCTTCTACCTTTCTCTCTTGTCGGTCAGAGGACCCGAGGGTAGATCCTGCATGTCCAAGCACTTAATCCTGCACTAACATTTCCCACGTCAGCCCTTGGGAAGCATTTGTTGGGCTGAATCTGAGTCAGCACTTGTCCATTTGCCAAATGGAGTTCTTGTATACACCACTCTGAAATGAGCAGAGTTAAAAATAAAATAAAATAAAACCAGATGCCCCAGCAAGTTTGAGTTGCAGACGGAATGTCTGAGACACTGTCCACCTGTGGCGTATTTATACTTAATGAATTCCTTGTTTACATAAAGCTCTGTGCTCACCCAGGCTCTCTGTGTTTGTATCTGCTGGCTCAGTGAGGCTATTCTTACCCTCATGATGGAAAGCTTGACTTGGGTAATGAACTTTCTGCAGAATCCTCGTTCCCTGCAGTTCTCAGGGAGAGCTGAGCCTCTGCTTTTTTTCTAACTCATCAATTGCCCCCCCTCACCCCACCCCAGGGTACAGCATACGGACTCTCCTAACCTCCTACAGTCGCTTCCAAACACCCACAGACAAGCCAGTGGTATCTTAGTAGTAGGAAGGATGTGCAGGAGAGATCACCAGAGAGGAAATGGCAGAGGGAGATATACACAGGTCTTAGTCCTTCCTCTCTACTCCCTGGTCTGCACACCACACACAGTGCAGCCACAGAATGCCTCGTTGATCATTAATTGGGACCTGGTAGCTGGCGCAGGTAGCAGCCTTCAAGGCTCACAGAGGGTCGGCATGGGTTCACTGTAAATGCAGTGTCCCTGGATTCTCTGAGGTTGGAGGAGGAAGAGCATGCCTGCAGCTAAAGCCTGCAGCCCATGGTGATGATGGCCTGATCCTGACACCAATCCCTGGCTCCTCTCTGCTGTAGAAGTGGCTTGTCACAGATCTGGACCGGGACTGGTCTCCTCACCTTGTAGCTCAAGTACATCCCCTGCCTTTACTTTCTTTTCCCAATTTTCCAGACATTTCAAAATATTCTCTTGCTGTCTGCTTGAAAACAGCAATGACCCTCCCTCCAAACGGCTGTCCTGGAACTCACTTTGTAGACGAGGCTGCCCTCGAACTCAGAAATCCTCCTGCCTCTGCCTCCCAAGTGCTGGGATTAGAGTCATGTACCACCACCTGACTTCTCCTCTTCCTCCTCCTTCTCCTCCTCCTCTTCCTTCTCCTCCTCCTCTTCCTTCTCCTCCTCCTCCTCCTCCTCTTCCTTCTTCTTCTTCTCCTCTTCCTCCTCCTCCTCTTCTTTTTCTCCTCCTCCTCCTCCTCCTCCTCCTCTTCCTCCTCCTTCTTCTTCTTGAGAAGAGTCTTATTCTGGAGCTAAGGTTGGCTTAGAACACAGGCAGCCTTATGAGAAGAAGGCTGCCAAGCTGAAGAAAAAGTATGAAAGAATATTGCTGCCTACAGAGCTAAAGGAAAAGCCGATGCAGCAAAAAAAGGGGGTAGTCAAGGCTGAAAAAAGCAAGAAAAAGAAGGAAGAGGAAGATGATGAGGATGAGGAAGAGGAGGAAGAAGAGGAAGATGGTGAAGAAGATGATAATATGAATAAGTTGGTTCTAGCACAGTTTTTTTTTTCTTGTCTATAAGCATTTAACTCCCTGGTACACAACTCATTCCTTTTAAAGAAAAAAAATGAAATGTTAAAACAAAAAACAAAACAAAAAACAAAAAAACAAAAAAGAGAAGAGTCTTACTCTGGAGCTAAGGTTGGCTTAGAACACTGACTGGCCTTAAACTCATAGCAATCATCCTCCCTCAGCCTCCCAAGGGATTAGGGACATGAAGCCCCCATGCCTGGCTTCTAATTAAATGTAAAACTTGAGATATTTATTTATGTGTATGAGTGTTTTGCCTGGTATATATGTCTGTGCACTACATGTGTGCTGTTTGCACAAGGAGCCTAGAAAAGGGCATCAGATCTCCTGGGGCTTACAGACAGTTCTGAGCTGCCTTGTGGGTGGTGGGGATTAAACGGTCCTTTAGAAGAGCAGTCCTAACCGCTGAGCCTTTTCTCCAACATCCCAATTCAATATTTAATGCACGTGCACACACACACACACACATACACACACACAATTATATTTGTGATAGTGAGGATGGATATCAAGGCTTCCTGCAGGCTCAGTGCTCTCCTTTTGACCTATACCTGGAACCGCCCCCCCCAAATGTGTGAGTGTGTTATGTGCTGGGGATTAAACCTAGAGCTTTGAGCATGCTAGACTAATGCTCTCAAAATGTTTTTAATATCCATTTTGCAAATGGCCATTAATCAGCTCTAGAGGTTCAGCAATGCATATGGATTCAGCCATCCGGGCAGCGAGGCCTGAGACTCTGCACCCGGCCACTAGGTGGCAACAGACACAGAGATTCTCAGTTGGCAACCTGAGACCAAGTGGCTGGCTGCTTCCTTTCTTGTTCTGCACCCAAGAGTGATGGCGATGACTTTTTGGGTCACACATAGGAGTGGTATGGATCTGGGGACATTGAAAGACTGTTTGTGGCTTCATTCTCAGTCTGGTCATCAGGCTCTCTATGAGCATTTTGCTAAGTACCCCCTGGCATTTGAGTAACACCCCAACAGCCACTAGGTAACTATCACCCACCAGCTGCATCTATCTCTGAAAGCCGACCTACCGACCGACCTTCCAGGCAGGCATCCATGAGTGACTTTCCGGTGATTATACTTCCTCCTGTATGGGCATCTGCAGACGTCCAGACATTAATTGGCTGGAGTTAATTAACTACCCGTCTCTTAGTTTATATTTTTGCCCAGCCGGATTACTGAGGAGGTTCTGGGAGGAGCACGTCCCCTGAGTCACCCAGACAGACAGCACCTGGGCAACACAGGACAGGCCCCTGCTCAGCAGAGGCAGGTGGTTTAGAGCAGGGGCTGGGTTCTCCAGGAGCTCCCAGCATCACATGGTCTTGGGCAGAGCGTTTAACTTGCTTCTTCAGGATTTCATCTGCAGACATGCATGCTTCCATGTCTAAACCCCATCAGATAACTAGCTTTTAGAAGACATTACTGACAACTGGCTGGTCCAACAGTAGAGTTTGATGGACTCCAGGTTAAGAAGGAGCTCTGCCTTGTAAGCTCTGCCTAGAATGAAGATGGAGAGGACAAAAAAGGGGGACCATGGCTTTAGAGAATGCTTTAAGGCAGGCCCTTTGCTGCAAGACCTGGGTGGGGGGGCTTGGCTAAGATCATGTTAGTACAGGATTAAACAACTCTAGGAGTTTAAGACTGCTTCATGGTAGGAGGGCCTCCAAGTCTTGAGGAAGTCTTGTGATTGAGGATTTTCCTGAACTTAATAGTAAGGCTACTTACAAAGTTTGCTTTCCTGGACAAGTGTTTCCTGGACCAGTTAAGTCACAATGCATCTGTAGTATATTGCTTCACTCAGTGAGTTGGAATCTTTTAGTTGATTTTATTCTTTTAACAATCTCATGGAGCCTATGCTGGCCTAAAACTTGTTATGTAGTCCAGTGTGAGTGTTTGAATGAGAATGTGTTCCCTAGACTTACAGATTTGAACACTTGGTCTCCAGCTGGTGGAGCTGTTTTGGAGGAAGGGTTAGGAGGTGTGACGTTGCTGGATTAGGTGTGTCACTGGGGCTGGTTTGAAGTTTCAGAAGCCAATGCCATTCCCAGTTAGGTCTCTCAGCCAAGTGATTGCATCTCAAGGTATGAGCA